TTTTTTTTTTTTTTTTTTTTTTTTTTTTTTTTTTTTTTTTTAGCTTTACGACGGTATCATTATCTCCTTTTCAGTCCTTATATCGTGAGATTCTTTTATTACTTATTTTTGCATATTTTTACAGTAACATCGGTAGTAAGCGTGTGGTCTCGAGGGCTTTAGTCGCTTTGTTTCGTTTCGTTTTTATATCGATTTCAAACATAGTATGCGTCTTATTTGATGTGGACTAGCTTATGTATATATAGCGATTTTTTTTTTTTTCATTTTAATTTTACGAAAGGCTCAGAAAAATAAGTTATTCGCTATTGTATATATAGGAAAGACGAATCTTGAAAATGTTTTTTTTTTTTTTTTTTTTTCCAATGGGTATGATTTTTCTTTATTCAAGAGATAAAAGTATAATAATAAAAGGTAGAGTTACAATATGTTGTTGTTCGATCGTGACAGCGGGCAGTCATCGATCGCTTTTGATAAACGAGCGAAGATTCATTTTCATTCAAATGTCCGTATCACAAGAATCAGCCGGCTTTATTTAACAAAGCCTTGTTGACTTTTTGAAGAATATACATTTATAAAAATGGTATACTTAAAATGAAGGTAAATACGAACATTTGTAAAAGTCGATGCGTTGAAGGAAAAAAAAAAAAAGAAAAACAAGCCATAACAATCTTGTAACGGAAAACAACACGTTAGTTTTTACAGGGTCGATTGGTAACGACAGTAAAAGGCGCGAAATAAGTATATATATATATGAAGTTGTTACAGGTACCGAAACAGTCGAAACTCCTTTATTACCTTAAAAATTTAAAAAGAACAACACAGTGTCACGGTACTGGCTCGCACAGACTGCACATGTTACTTAACAATTTCATGTATATTTATATATATATAGTGTGCATACACACACACACACAGACTCGCGTATGCGCAAACATACACAGACATCATTGAGAGGTGCGCTCAAACTCGAAAAGGGAGAAAACACGATAAGCGACTTTAGCGCTTCCTCTCTTCATCGGTCGGCTATAATTAATAATAGTAATCATAATAATAATAGTAATGACGATTTTCATTACTCGATCCGAAAAATTTTTTTTCGGCAAGTAACTCCATCCTCATATACTTTTAGCTTCTTGTCGAAGTATGTGCACAGGGAGAAACTTCGTAACTCATTGGTTTTTTTTTTTTTTTTTTTTCTTTTTTCTTTTCCTTCTCATTTTCATTTACTTTGTAACGCGAAATAGTGTACTAAGGGCGAGCGTATATGAGATGTACAGAAAAACGAAATCTCCCGTCGCGCGTACGTACACTAGGACGAGACTCGAGAACGTCTCGTTCGATTCGCTTTCTCGCTTGAACGTCGTTATGTATATATTATGCATATGAATATATATATATATATTTTTTTTTTCTCTTCATCCATTATTACTCGTTTGTTTCAGTATAGTATATAGTGTTNGTTAAGCGGAACAGTGGAACCCTCTTTTCAATATGAACGTTCATAATGAAATTAGCCAAAAATGTCCATAGATGTGAATAGCTCCTAAGTCATGTGTCGTTATCCCATTCCAGCGTTCCTGTGATATACCATTCCAAAGTTCTGTGTTATTGGGATATACCATTCCAACGTTCCTGTGTTATGTTATTCCGTTGTTTCTGTGTTCTTGTGTGGGTGTTATCCGCAATCGTCACCGTCACCACTGCCCACTGCCTCCTGCAGCCAGTGACATATATGTAAGGCATAACATAACAACGTTGCCTACTGTCGGTTTAGGGTGCGTTCAGATGCAACGTCAACGTCAACTTTCTGCAATCCATTTGAATGCACGGGTGCGAGGGAGAGGGCGAATAATCCTTGATCTCTCTTGCACTCGTGCATGTAAATGGATTACAGATTGCTACCTATCAATTCTCACGGTTCGTGACGCGTGACGCGTGACACGACCTCTTAAAATATCCGTTGTGATGTTGTGAATCCTTTCATATATGTTTATTCGCGTACTATTTGTAAATAAAGTATTTAAAAAGCAACATATTTTCTTATTGCAGTAGGAGAAATATGGCACAAGTACGTACTGCATGTTATGCGGAAAAGTCTATTTAATTCGTTACAAGTGAATTTTAATTTTTTTATTAGCATTTACGTTTACCCGGTATTTTTTTAAAAACGTGGGTGTATTAGCTGAGTTTTATTAAGTAATTAGATGCATAGGCTTCTTTTACAAAATAAAAGCAGTTATTAATCCTTCAAAAGTATTACAATCATCATTACTGTAATGAATTGATTAGATCGATGACAACATAACCTTGTTTTACTGGACTCTCAAAGTCATGTATTTCCCAAGATTCATCAGAAGTAAGATTTTCTTTTTACTCGTTGTCTGGCGAATTTTATCAATTTTCGTTGTTCAAACATATCATGTTCCTGACGAGTACTGGCAATCACTGGAGGTTGCTCACAAGCTTACTTTTGGCTACGGATATCTGACTTGGGAGTGGCTCATTGGAATCAGGAGTTATTTCTATCCATTTATATTTTCGATTTTGTACTCTATTTTGAAATTTCTTAATTTTGATAACGTTCATTTGTTGATTTATTTGCCAAGATTGTTCCATGCACTTCTCTCTGCTTATGCTGAATATAAATTTTATATTTGGACTGAGAGTAAATTTGCATTGTTTAATCTTTGCATAAATTGGTTTTGGTACTACTGTGCCAGTAGAACTTTAATTAACAGTTTCGAAACATGCTTGACTATTATTGCATTGTCTGAGTATCCTTGGAAGAATAATCCAAAGAGAAACTTAAAGTTCTTGTGGATAGTCGGTCTCCTGTGCTTTGCACGACCGACCGCCGCTGTTGTATGGATTCCTTTGTGTATTTATTATCTGTTCAAAGAAAAATTTCTTTTCCTTAGGTACTTATTGATAGGTACCATTTGTTTTGCAATTTCTACTACCATAGATGTAATATGTTATCGAAAATTTATTTTAACTCCATGGGAGTTCTTCAAAATAAATATTTTGAATAATATTTCAGCGCAATATGGAGAGTGGCAAATGTACTGGTATTTCACTTCTGGTTTACCTGTAATACTTGGCTTAAATTATGCCCTTCTTCCATTTGCAATTTTCAAAGCTTGTAAAAATTATAAATCAATGTTCAAATCTTTGATTCTTGTTTTAACAACCTTTTGGACAGTAGGTGTTTACTCTTTAATTCCTCACAAAGAATTTAGATTTATTCTTCCGGTTTTACCAATGCTTCTTTATGTAATACATGAGAGCTTGTTACACAAGAAACTGGCCAAGTCAAAGAGAAACATTTTAATTTTCTTGTTAACAATCAGCAACGTAATCCCTGGTATTTTCTTTTCTTATTTTTACCAGCATGGAGCCATGAGTGTTATTGAAAATCTAAGACATGATGTACAAACTACCAACTCTAGCAACATAAATATTATATTTTTGACCAATTGTCATGCAACTCCTTACTACAGTCACCTTCACTTAAATGTTCCTATGCGATTCTTAACATGTGAACCTAATCTGGATCAAAGAGAAAATTATTACAACGAAGCAGACATATTTTTTGCCAACCCAATGAAATATCTCGACAAAATCTATTTTAAAACTCGTTCTCCAAGCCATGTGATTGTTAGGGATTATACAGTAAATATGATTGAACCATTTTTGAGAGACTATAAAATTATTGCAACTTGCCCAGACGTGTATTTATTAGATAAATTTATAGCACTGAACAGAAAACATAACGACTTTCATCTGTATAAACATCGTTTGTTAAAATAGAGTAAAGTTCAATAAGATTTCATCAAAATTTAAGGTTTGTGGCAATAAAAATTTGTTTTTTTTTTCCTTTGTTTATTTAAAAGTCGTGTAGTTTAATATCATATTAAGGCATGATACTTTACGGATAAAATATTTAATTGAAAAAAAAGAAAGTTACGCGTTGTATTTTTTAAACATCTCAAAAATTATTTTTTTGATTTTTCAGGATTTAGAAAAAAAATTTGATGAAATTTGTGAAGCCTTGGACAATTTAGCAATTAAGAATTTGGAATTGATAGAAGAAAAAGTATTACTGACCGTTTCGTTGGAAAAATCAATACGCCAAGGGCACATTAATCTCGCCAAAGCTCGATACATCCGAGGAAAAGAAAACGTCGGAATCTTGCAGATTCCAAGCAAAGAACACGATATCAAATCATTATTCGATCTAGAGACGACCTTCAGGAATAGTGAAGAAGACAAACAAGAAAAAGATTTTCCTCATTACGATATTTGCTTAAAAAAGTGTGGAGAGGGAGAAGATGAGCCGCAAAATCCGATCAAGTGGTTTGGCGTCTTGGTGCCACAAAGTTTGAAAATTGCACAAAAGCATTTTCAGGACGCACTCTATGTCGCAGTCAGATTAGCCAATCTTCAAGCTGAACTGGCAAAAACGAAGAGACAGTCGGACTCTTTAAAAGTTTTAAAAACAGAGGCTGCGTGATATTTTTATTTGACTTGTAATATACTATAACTTATGATTAAACGTATTTTTACACAAAATTTTTTTCATCTCGTTACTTTTGACTTACCTCTCTTGTTATTATTATTTTTGTTTTATTCCAAGCAGGATGAAGAGTTAAGCGGAACAGTGGAACCCTCTTTTCAATATGAACGTTCATAATGAAATTAGCCAAAAATGTCCATAGATGTGAATAGCTCCTAAGTCATGTGTCGTTATCCCATTCCAGCGTTCCTGTGATATACCATTCCAAAGTTCTGTGTTATTGGGATATACCATTCCAACGTTCCTGTGTTATGTTATTCCGTTGTTTCTGTGTTCTTGTGTGGGTGTTATCCGCAATCGTCACCGTCACCACTGCCCACTGCCTCCTGCAGCCAGTGACATATATGTAAGGCATAACATAACAACGTTGCCTACTGTCGGTTTAGGGTGCGTTCAGATGCAACGTCAACGTCAACTTTCTGCAATCCATTTGAATGCACGGGTGCGAGGGAGAGGGCGAATAATCCTTGATCTCTCTTGCACTCGTGCATGTAAATGGATTACAGATTGCTACCTATCAATTCTCACGGTTCGTGACGCGTGACGCGTGACACGACCTCTTAAAATATCCGTTGTGATGTTGTGAATCCTTTCATATATGTTTATTCGCGTACTATTTGTAAATAAAGTATTTAAAAAGCAACATATTTTCTTATTGCAGTAGGAGAAATATGGCACAAGTACGTACTGCATGTTATGCGGAAAAGTCTATTTAATTCGTTACAAGTGAATTTTAATTTTTTTATTAGCATTTACGTTTACCCGGTATTTTTTTAAAAACGTGGGTGTATTAGCTGAGTTTTATTAAGTAATTAGATGCATAGGCTTCTTTTACAAAATAAAAGCAGTTATTAATCCTTCAAAAGTATTACAATCATCATTACTGTAATGAATTGATTAGATCGATGACAACATAACCTTGTTTTACTGGACTCTCAAAGTCATGTATTTCCCAAGATTCATCAGAAGTAAGATTTTCTTTTTACTCGTTGTCTGGCGAATTTTATCAATTTTCGTTGTTCAAACATATCATGTTCCTGACGAGTACTGGCAATCACTGGAGGTTGCTCACAAGCTTACTTTTGGCTACGGATATCTGACTTGGGAGTGGCTCATTGGAATCAGGAGTTATTTCTATCCATTTATATTTTCGATTTTGTACTCTATTTTGAAATTTCTTAATTTTGATAACGTTCATTTGTTGATTTATTTGCCAAGATTGTTCCATGCACTTCTCTCTGCTTATGCTGAATATAAATTTTATATTTGGACTGAGAGTAAATTTGCATTGTTTAATCTTTGCATAAATTGGTTTTGGTACTACTGTGCCAGTAGAACTTTAATTAACAGTTTCGAAACATGCTTGACTATTATTGCATTGTCTGAGTATCCTTGGAAGAATAATCCAAAGAGAAACTTAAAGTTCTTGTGGATAGTCGGTCTCCTGTGCTTTGCACGACCGACCGCCGCTGTTGTATGGATTCCTTTGTGTATTTATTATCTGTTCAAAGAAAAATTTCTTTTCCTTAGGTACTTATTGATAGGTACCATTTGTTTTGCAATTTCTACTACCATAGATGTAATATGTTATCGAAAATTTATTTTAACTCCATGGGAGTTCTTCAAAATAAATATTTTGAATAATATTTCAGCGCAATATGGAGAGTGGCAAATGTACTGGTATTTCACTTCTGGTTTACCTGTAATACTTGGCTTAAATTATGCCCTTCTTCCATTTGCAATTTTCAAAGCTTGTAAAAATTATAAATCAATGTTCAAATCTTTGATTCTTGTTTTAACAACCTTTTGGACAGTAGGTGTTTACTCTTTAATTCCTCACAAAGAATTTAGATTTATTCTTCCGGTTTTACCAATGCTTCTTTATGTAATACATGAGAGCTTGTTACACAAGAAACTGGCCAAGTCAAAGAGAAACATTTTAATTTTCTTGTTAACAATCAGCAACGTAATCCCTGGTATTTTCTTTTCTTATTTTTACCAGCATGGAGCCATGAGTGTTATTGAAAATCTAAGACATGATGTACAAACTACCAACTCTAGCAACATAAATATTATATTTTTGACCAATTGTCATGCAACTCCTTACTACAGTCACCTTCACTTAAATGTTCCTATGCGATTCTTAACATGTGAACCTAATCTGGATCAAAGAGAAAATTATTACAACGAAGCAGACATATTTTTTGCCAACCCAATGAAATATCTCGACAAAATCTATTTTAAAACTCGTTCTCCAAGCCATGTGATTGTTAGGGATTATACAGTAAATATGATTGAACCATTTTTGAGAGACTATAAAATTATTGCAACTTGCCCAGACGTGTATTTATTAGATAAATTTATAGCACTGAACAGAAAACATAACGACTTTCATCTGTATAAACATCGTTTGTTAAAATAGAGTAAAGTTCAATAAGATTTCATCAAAATTTAAGGTTTGTGGCAATAAAAATTTGTTTTTTTTTTCCTTTGTTTATTTAAAAGTCGTGTAGTTTAATATCATATTAAGGCATGATACTTTACGGATAAAATATTTAATTGAAAAAAAAGAAAGTTACGCGTTGTATTTTTTAAACATCTCAAAAATTATTTTTTTGATTTTTCAGGA